AAGTGCATGTGCTTTTTAGACATATTGAGGGAAACACTCAGCGGAATTTAAACTCCAAGGAAATCAGAAGAGGGATTGGCAGGAAATCAAAGTGTTAGCATGCATGGGATGCTGACCTGCTAGCTAGCTTGTTTATTAGCCTGTGGTCTGAGGTTACGGGCAGAGTTTGTTATCATGATGGAGATACGTTCAATTCTAGAAATAACGGGACCTTTAAATCTGATCAAATCTGATACAATTTAAAAGCGTATTCACTTGTGGTATCATGGTGAATCAGCAGAAAACATCTCACCTCTTTCTGACGGTCTCTCTATTTCTCATTTTCTATTCTGGGCCCCTCGCTCCCTTTTTGGTCCAATCATAAACACAAAACAGGTTTGATTGTGACTTGAATGGGCCCAAATGGAGAGGCAGCAGAGCTATTGTGCTGACTTCAAATAGCGTCTGATAAGAGACTGTGTGTTCAGAATGTCTGAATAGATCACCACTGCGATGGTATCAGTAATTCACCTCGAGTCTTCACAGAAACGTCATGTCTCAGCAGGGCCAGACGGATCCTCAGTCGTATTACCGAGAGCCTCTGTGACCTTGCGGTGAGATGAGAGGGAGAAGCTGCTCAGAGCACATTTCCACAGTTTTAATTACCACCAGCAAAGGGAAGCTGCTGTAGAGATCTCTTGTTGAAGTGTGTGTGATTGCTTTTGCCTTAACCTGTGCGTGATCTGTGTGTATGTGCACACTGCATGTGTCAATCTGACACTGGTGGAGAGCCTCTCCACCAAAAACCATCCTATTTGGGCTGGCCCTCTTTAAAACCCTCTTACATAAGCCACTGTTCTCAGATGTGCGATATCATGGAACTATTTTTGTCTCTTCCTCTGAGAAAGCCTGTTCGCAGTTCAAAACTAGCCTTTTCTTTAAATAAAACATCGGAGCTCCCTCGCTTCTCAGCCTGTCCTCACAAAGTGAGCTTCTGCTGAAAGGATTGAATGTCAGAAAAAAAAAAATCATTCAATTTCATCTTAGGAAACTTTAGCCCTTTACATTGGCTGACCTGGATTCAGGCGCCAAACAAGACATTTTTTCTTTTTTTTGTCCCTGTCCTAGATTTTGTTCTGACACGGAAACAGCTGGAGAAATCTTGCCTGGTGTTATGATGGGATATTAATACCCACATTTTATGTTCCGCTTTCTATGCTCCATTTTGATCCGCAGAGAAGGGACCAATTGATCCACAGTTCCTTCAATAAATACAATAATAAATCATCAAATGGCAAGGTCTGTGATCACGGACAATCTGACCTCTTGTTTAGTGACCTTGAAAGGTTACTGCATGTCCAATTTTTACCAATAAGTGTAAAGAAATGAAAAATGGATTGCCTGGATGTTATTCATTTGATTTTTTATTCGGTAAACAATATCAGTGGTCTTTAGATTGTTTTGTTTGGTGGATAAATGAATAAAAATTAAGACGTGAAGACGATAAATATTTGAGTCTCAGTGTTGGCCTTCTCATCATTTGTGTTACTAAAGCATGCAATGTACAATGCGTTGTTTTTTATAGTTTGTTTTAGGCTTTTTTGTTATATTATATCATACACCCACATACCAATGGAACAATGTTAGGTGCATTCAATGTGAGGAATCCTTTATTTCATATAAAATAAAGGTTTTTAAAGCTTAATCAGTGACATTTTTACATTTTCACATGACACAAATTCCGTATTTTCAATCCAACACTAAAATGTTACAAATTTTATTTGAGTGTAGTGTTGTAAAAGAAATATAATGTACAATTTAGCCAACTGCAGAGACTAGCCGTTACAAACAGCTTAACCTGGGCACACCCATCCACCAGACTCATCACCTCAAAAAAAAGTAAAGACATAACTCTATGTTAACACCGCTTAACAATCTTACTTGTCTCGTAAAACTAAACTCACTATTGGTACAATACAGGTTTTGCCACATTATTTCATTCATTCGATCCCTCTATGCTTCACAGTGATCCAGTAGAGACCTATTTTTTATGATTTATATTACTACTTTTTTTTGAGAAAGAGGGGGCTGAACGTTATTAACAAGGTCTATAGGGACATTTCAACTTAATTTATTTTTATGAATAAGCTCTGTCTTCATGCTGTTTTATGCACTCTTTACATTCAAAGTAAATGTCAAAATCATTAAAAATAGGGACATTAGTACCTCACATTTACATTACACATCTGCTTAATTCAATATTGATCAACTAGAGTCGGAGAAAAAGTGATGTGATTTTTTTAACAATTAGTTTATTTCATTATTCACCACAATTGATTGATAACCTATTTCTCTATGTCATGAGCGCTCTGGTTGTTGAGTTCCCTTGGACCATGACGTCTCTTCTCGCTCAGCCATCAGAGGACAGGTTCAATCAATTTGGTTTGAAAAGATCACTCGCTCTTCCCAGACTTACACAGAGGCATATCCCAGAGAGGTTGTAGCAAACAGCCTTAGCTAAAAGGAGATTAAGGCAACACTGGAAAGACCCCTTGAAGCCCTCTAAAGACTGGTGGGTGATTTTGGATTTAGCAGTGGTAGTGAGATAAAGGCCTTTTCTTCCTGCTTAATTGATGGCTGTAATCCATGTGTTGTTTTAAGAAGTCTGTCTCGTTGATGAGGGAACACAAACCCCTATGGGTCCCTGCAGAAAGTGGTGGTTTAGTGAGGTCATCAGAGAGGTTTCCCACTTGTTGGGTGGGGGCAACTTGTAGCTCTAGGATCCTCCTGATAAATTAACATTTTTCTCCCAAAGTAAAAAGTGAATGTGGATGACAGCAGTCTTGCATCATGCATGCAAATTCTTAGAGAATCTTTCATGTCACTTATATCCATGTAAGGAATCTAATATTCCAACAATTTAAGATAAACTGTGCTATTGTGTCTTTTGTTTTATCCTGTACCATATTGTACATTTATGGGATTGTCTAGTTTCCTCTCATCCTCAAATGACATTTGACTTTTTACTTTAGATGCTCTCTACATTGCTCTCGTTAAAACGTCTGTGAACAGTTTGTAACTGGTTCTGAAACAGACTTTTTCAGTGGAAAAGATTCAAAGTGTGATTTGAGTCTTAATAGAGAGCAGGAGGGGGTTCTTTCGGGTGAGATACTTACCACACATGTACAAGGCAGGATCAGCAGAGCGATGAGACGTAGTGCTTTGTCCAAAGAGCCGAGATGGAGACGAAATAAAAACGTCCATGTAGTCTCTTTAAGTTGTCACATTCTGTCTTTCTAAGTCCTTATAATTTTTTCTCAACCACTCTGCAGTTCATTTCCAGGAGTCAGGTTCCATGAGTGCACAGTAACACCAGCAGTACCAATTAATAGTTATTTAAGATGTGTAGAAGTGGATAGAGGCTTAATGAGAAGATCACAGACATCCCTTAAGTAAGAAAAGTCCTGACCTCGAGGCTTCAGCACACTTTTAGGAAATCTAGTGGTGTACCTCTTGGTCTCAGTCAGAATGATAATATCCTTGTGTTGATCGCTATCATGAATTACAAGTTGTGCTTAATCTCTACAAAGTATGTAATTAACCTTGCACTGATTCATATCGCTCATTATATCAGCCCAGATGGGACATTGAAAATAGGGCAACGGTGCCTTAATATCTCATCTAGTGCCTGTGCTACATTATACGGTACAAAGTGAAGCCATGTTCACAGATGTCTTGTGCAGGTTTGAAAATATGTCTGCACAAAATATGCTCAGGTCTTTGTATTTTCTTACTTATTTTTTAACCGTAAAGGTGATTACGAATGTTGTTGCTGATGACATACAGTACCTGCTTCTTAAATCTCTCCAAACATTAGTATGTGTTGCATCCTATCAGCTATTTATGACCTACCAAGAAACACCAACCAATCCTGAACAAAAGTGTAAACGGAACAATAAAATGTCAAATCTCGGTCTCTTTAAGCGATTGCTGGTTGTTACATTGTACTGACTTGCAAAGTCTAATCCCAATTCAAAACTTAATTACAGCCATTCTGCCTCTGGAGAAAATTAGTGACCTATTGTTGAAAATGTGCTGTAAAGTGGAAAAGAGAGAGAGAAACTTGATTAGCATGGACAGGTGGGGCAGGTTGAAATGAGGACAGTTATGACTGTGGGTGGTGTTAATGTATGTGTGTGTTAACTCGAGAAGGAGAGAGAGCTTTAAATGTTTAAGCTCCGAACATAACAGAGCACCAGAGGAATACATATGTAGACATTCTCATTATGTTTCATGAGCATGCTTTCACTATATTAATTGCTCAATAAATCTCCGCTGCTTTAACTGGACCAGTTAAGTTACTCACTCCTACTTTTCCAACTATAAAGCATTCAGTCTGAGTTTATGCTCGCCGCCTCCTGTTTTGCTCATTAGCTTGCTAATGCTGTGAGAAAACAGTTACAAAGGTTGCCTTTCAAAGTTTTTTTTTATACCTGAATTGATTTACAGGAGATGTTCTTCAAAGTTGCTGTGGTCCAACTGAATAATATGGGCTTGTTGTAAAGGCAATTAGTGTTTGAGGCTGTTCTGAGGAGTTTGTGTGCGTGTGCGTGTGTGTGTGTGTGTGTGTGTGTGTGTGTGGGGGGGGGGGGGGGGGACCTGAGTCAGTCACCTCTATACATACTCCAACACACACACAAGGGGGGAGTATGAAGGCAGCGTGAAAGGTCATGCATACAGGGGTCAATATCCAGCTGATATTTACAGATCTATTCGCAGTAACACTTTGAAGGGACTGTTTTCTTTGACATTTGAAGTAATTTGAAGACTTTATCCGTTCTCACCCTCAGACTATAGATTACTTATTTTTTTCCACAATTGTCACGACTGCACAGACAGGGTTTAACCCTTGAAATAATTAAAGCCGTAGCTTTTTCCCGGACAGTAAATTACTTCATTTTTTTTAACCCCAACAGTCAGGACAAAAGCTCACTATGCTTTTTTTCCCTTTGTCATTCCAGCTGTCCTTTGCAGCAACAACCCCAGTACTGGCAGACAAGAAAAAGTACCCCAACTTCTTCCGCACAGTACCATCAGACAACGCAGTCAACCCGGCAGTAGTGAAGTTCCTCAACTACTACAACTGGAGCCGTGTGGGGACCCTCACACAGGATGTTCAGAGGTTCTCAGAGGTCAGTACTCTTTGTTAATCATTTAAACATATACGTCTTGATTTGTAACTGTTGGAAAAGTTGCAGTAGAAAGCTGAGGTTGGAAGATGAAACGTCACAGATAAAAAAACACAGGAAATGGTAACCAGTTTTGATATAAAGCAGTTCAAATAAAGAAAGGAGGAGGGTTGCATGGTTCCATCATTTTAACTTAAATATCTTTATCATGTCTACTATGTCTACAAAGCTAGAGGACACAAAATATTGAATCATCTGGCTCTCTGGCCTGAAGTCTGCCGTGTAAAGTATACATTTGTTAGTCAAATCAATGTAGTTTAATGTATTCCAGTTTTATTCCAGTCTGCTACTGTCAAACCTTTGTGGGAGAGACTTTTACTTTTTTCTGAAGGAAAAGGTTAACATGTCACCATTCTAACGCTGCTCATGTATTTTCACTTATTGGATTTTTTAGTATCTTGTCACATCCTGATGAACAGACTGAGAGCAGTATCCGGTTTGAACAATGACTGTCATTTCTTTACAATTATCATTCAGAGGATGCCAACATGGCTGGAGTGGGTGGCAATCAATCAAATCCAATCTTTTCTCCACTAGTTGGGTGAATAATATTTTTCCACCCACTTCAAACTCCATTGATGGATTTTCAATGATTCTGCATAAATGTGAAGATTGACATTTTTTAAATTAATAATGGAGCTTAATCCTACGGCTTAATATTTGTGTGTGTTTTTAAAAAGGTTACTTTCATGAAGATGCATTATCATGACCCTTCATTACTGGAGAATCAGATTTGAGCAGATGTAAGGCGTACATGATTTTTTTATACCAATTACATAGGAGTTTTGGCTCGATGATTTGTTTACCCAATTCTATGTGGAGCGTAGTGTAATGGCCATCTCCTAAATAAGCATAATTAATATCAGATAATGAAAAAAGCCTATTTTGGATGGATGACCGAACATTCCAGAATTTGGAGACCAACTCAGACTCAAGGTACAAACATGGTATCATACAGTATCTGCAACACTGAAATATCACGTTGTTAAGCCATACCAGAAGACTTTAGGAAATAAACTGTTAGCTCTTGCCTCAAGGTGCTGGTTAAAAACAATCTGCTCAGCAGCTGGGGATAGGGGGGGAGATGGGGAAGTGTTGGGAGAAAGAGGGAAACGTATAAGAAGTCTCACTGCAAATCTCACAGAGCCCAAATCCCTTTATCTCTCCCCTCCTGAAAGCGCCAAGGGGCTTAGGACGTGAGGAAAACGGGCGGCCCGATTCAATCAACTTGCCACAAGATTGGCCTCTAATCCTGAGTTACAAATATGCAAGCATCTCTTCCATACCTCATGATTTGTTCAATCCTCTGTCAAGTTCAAAGACATCGGCTTTTGGTGCATCTGGAAACTGTGCTAGCGTGTCGCGAGACAAATGCTTGATAAGATTTAAAGTCATGCACTTTGTTTGGCCATTCTAAACAATATAAAAAAGGACACAAGTCCAATGTTGCAGTCTTGATGACTCCTTTCTGTTTGCGTATAATTCCAGTTTATTTGTGCTATTTATTATACTTTCGTGTCTCCAGAGCCATGCTAACTTTACACTCTTTAATGTCAGGGAAAAAGGCTTGAGGACACCTCTACAGCTTTGTAAATAACAATGGTTGCAATACAAGTTATTTCAAGCTCCTGACTCTGAGTCCATAAAAGTAGGAAACTGCTCCCTGAAACACCATAGTGGCTTACAGCATTAGCATCTTCTTGTAGGGCATCTTGTGGGTTAACCCAATTAATCTGCCTTTTGATTTATGCATATTGTCTTGTTATCATGTGTGTGGCTCACTTTCACTATGCTGTAACCAATAAACACTCTCATTAACACAAAACCTGATGTAAATCTGTCACCTGGCGGTAACTTGTCAAAAAGATCTGTATATATAAATATAAAGCTTAACTTAAAATTATAGGCTTTTGAATTATCTGATCACAGTTTTTCCAAGTATTTTTTTTTAACAAGCTAATTCCCCCCTTGACTTTGAAAGTGCTGCACTAACAAGCAAAGTCTTTTCCACATCGTCAAAGTAACGTTGACCCTTGAGCAATCACATCACTGCAACAGTGGGCAGGGGCGGTCAGAAATCCTGTGAAAATCTTACTTATCTTCCCTATAATAATACCCCTGGATGTGTAACTCATGTGTGACTCAATACCATACACATGTTTAATCTAATAATTAAAAAGCATGAATGTGCTCTGTCTGAAGATTGTTCATGTCTCTGCAAATTGATTTCCAAATTGTACTGATGTAATCCAGAGGCTGCCTGTAGGGGAGGAATCACTGCAGCATTATCAAACGCTCATAAACCTTTGCCAGTAAAAAGATAATTGATACAAAAAGTTGATGATCAAAAAATTATCAAAGACTAATTTTAAGTGGATTGATTTCACTTCAGAGCATCTCTAATATATATGTCTACACAGTGTGCATGTGTGTTCACACATAGGTGCTTACATCTCCATAATGAGGATACTATTGACAGAGTTGTCATCCCTGTCAGCTCTACATCTCTCTCTCTATGTCATTCTCTCATTCTCTCTCTCTCTCTCTCTCTCGCTCTGATCCACAGTGCTTTTTCCCAGGGAGAATGCTCACAAGGTTAATGTTATGTAACGCTTGTTAAGGACTCAGTCGGTGGAATGCACACCACACACACACATGCATAGAGTTTAATGTCCCCTGGGACTGTAACCTGTAAGCTAAAGCCAGCACGACACTTCTATTTATAGGCACCATTGAAACACATATACACTGATACACCTACATGCACACTCAATGCTGTTTATCGATAGGCACTTATGTTTCTTTAATCGGTGTGTTTTTAGTTTTTTTTTAGTTTTCTTTTATAGTGAGTGATGAAAATGAGTAAAAGCAATGTATTTGTTGTGTTAAGTAGTCTGTCCAAGCCACACACACACTCAAACACACACACACACCCACACACCCAAAACAATCAACATTATTGCGATTGCCAGACAAACAGGGCTCACCTAGGAAACAAAGGAGCCATTATCAGACCATAGGATGACAGACCTGACAGAGAGCAAGGATTAGGACTCTGTCCTCCGCTGCCTCTGTCCGAGTGAGAGTATTTCATTACAATGAGACTAATGAGACATTTAGCGAAAGTAACTCCCACAGCATCTTCCTTTTTCCCCCCTTTCAATTATTTTTTTTTGTCATTATTCATGCTTTTTTCATGATTTTTCCCCAACTAGCAGCTGTTGCAAATAACAAATATCTATGTAGTGCTGCTTGAATTCCTACCCAGAATCTAATTTGTACAGGGCATGTAAGGCCACAGGAGAAAGCCGTTCCAGAGCTTGTCATGAGGCTGTGGAGCCACCATTTGTCACGCTAGTTTTTATGAGCACATGACTGGCATTACAGGCTGAACTCTGGGATTTGCATGCTGATTTGAATTGAACTCAATAGTAGTGGCAGATGTATGCGTGAATCAATCACATTTCCACATTGTAAAACCCAAAAAAGTACATCCTCTCCATTGTGAATCTACCAGTTGACACATAAATTAATTCTAAATGAGCGGTTAAGCATGCCAAAACAAAAGAAAAAAAAAGAAAGATTGATAGACATCTGCTATCACTCTACTATATATGATCATAATAAACACACATGCAGTCACACCTGCAATGAATGGACCTGCCTAGAAAATTATGCATAAATGATTTGATGATGGACAATTGCAGTCTGTTTGTCTCACAGAATCATACCATGGTACTATTCACTTATACACTGCATCAGGATCCTCTCTAGCCTGCCTCTCTGCTGCCTGGAGGGTGTGATTTGAATTTTTGAGGAAAGTGTTTTGTTTCTTTCCGTAAATGTCAAGCTTAGCCAGCAGTAGAATGTGGATTGGTTTGATCAGCAACTATTCGAGAGAAAGACAGAGCACATATATCATGTTATTAAGGTGTAATAGCTGAGATATTGCTAGTATATCTATATATATAAGTATGAAAATATAAAAGCTGAAACAATTCATCCTGCAACAGTGTTGATCAAAATAAAAGCAGGAATCCCTTTTTTACCTTCATTATTGTGTTGATCTATCATTTTCATAGCAGAACTAAAGTTACTACAGAAAAAACTGTGAGCCCAATGGGTATTTATTACTTCAGAAGTCATCACTCCAATCAAGTTTGTAGTCTGACTGTAAACAAAGTCAACACACTTGAAGGAAGTCATGGCCGGATGTCTCACTGTTGGCTTCATCTGAAGCCTTGAAAAGTTGGCTGATCGGTTACGAGATTGCGATTTTATTTATCAAATTTTGTGAGCAAGTAAAGCCACGGCCAATATAGCACTGTGTCCACATGCAGTGTAGGTCCGCAATGCCATTCTGTCATTTACACCCAAAACTATAAAGTGTCCCTTAACTTCCCAGCTGTATTCATTTGTATTCTTTTTTGTGCTTGTATATATCTACAGTATATGTGTGCTACTTGCTGGCGAGGACATGATTCTGTAGTGTACCCAAGTAGAATCATTTATTGTTTCTACATACTGATGCATTGCCCACATCAAACTCAGTGCATTTGACATTTTGTCCATCATGCGTAGGTGTGTGCTTACATAGTTGTTGTGTGGACGCATGCCCACAAGTGCAGCATAATTATTTCTCCTCTGATTTGCTGCTTGGGATTCCCAGGCTGCGCGGGACAATGGAGGATGTTTTTTGTTACGCAGGAAAGCTGTACACTTTTTCTTCTTACCTATTCTCTGTCCATCAGCTCCTCTTTCCTCCCCTCCATCTCCCTTGCTCTCTCTTACACATTCAATCCAACAAGCAACAATAGGTTCAACCTTTCCTATCTCATTTGAAAAACAAAACTAAAATAACAAACACTTGTGACATAGGCTTCTTAAGATAGACCTGAATAGCTGTTGAGGTCTGCCATTATGTCCTATGCCTGTGTGCTTGT